ATTTGTCCCATATCAGGTTTAATTTTTAGTTTAAACTAGTCTAATCTGGTTCCATCAACTTGAAACTTAGTACACATTTTCATTTTGATGTGAAGGTCTTGAAGTATGTGCCTTTGGTTTTTTACCCAGATTGCCTGCTTTACTGAATATATAAATGTGATAGTGTGAGCAGGTCATGATGTCATATCTAGACAAATGTTCATGTTTTACATAGTAAAGATTTATAATTGTCTGCCAAGTTTTAGAACTTTCACTGTAGAGCAATAGTTACTCTGACTCAATCACAATTTAAGCAGCAATCAATGCAACTGACAAGAAAACAAAATATAACAATTAATCATTTGAAGCATGTTTCAGTATTAGTGGCACTTAACCCAAAAATATTTTTTCATGGAAATCAGCTGAAAGGCTTATCCTTATTTTCTAGAGTAGACATTGTTTCATTGTTACATACAAGAAGTATTTTATCAGTAAAATGTACTTCAATCTACATGCAATATATACATTTAGTACAATATAAAACATGTACAATACAAATTCAGTATTGTATTTAGCTCACAAGTACTACTTGACTGGATTAATGTTGAATTGTAAGAGGAAATCTTCAAGTAGTCAAACCTAACCGGAAACCAGTTGTTCACAATTGCCAAAAAATAACCTTGGTGAATCATTGTGTTGTACATAGAAAAGAGTAAGTCATTGTAGACTTAATCTATTAGTAGTTTGAAGGATTGTGCGATATTTTTGTGTAGTAATTTGTGATTATACTTGACGATCGATGAGATATTTTGGTATTGTAGTGCATACCTTGAGTGCATTTCTGTGCAATTTTTTGTTTCTGTCTAATTTATGATGTGCAGGTGCACTTTTGAAAATTGAATTATACAGTGCAAGTCCTTTAGAGGGGTTACTAGTTAGTGAATAGCATCACAAAGTGCAAATGTTACTGACTTGAGTCAACTTGAGACTTTTGGCTACCTCCTGTAAATTTTTGAAACTGTACCAATATGAAAAAAGTGCTACTTCTTTTAAGTGAAGCTTGGCAGAATTTTTCAGTTGCACTGAAGTTACAGTAAAATTTTCTACAAATATTGACTGAGGCCACGGCTAAGGATTTTAGGACTCTAAAAGTCACATATTTACATTTATATTATAAGTGTGCTCTGTTTGCAATTTATTGATCCCTTTTCAAAATTATATTATTTTTTTTTATGTTGATATAACTTACACTTTTAAAGCCCATAATATTTTGATAAACCTCTAAAAAAACCCTGAATTAAGCTCTCCAAAAAAGGACTCTGTCAGAAAAGTAAGATTTTTAGATATGAAAGGAACATTATCAAAAACATAAGTTTAAAGTCAAGCCTTAAATGAATCTTTGTCTACCATGTCTACATTATCCAAGAGTCCAAACATACTGATAACTTCAGAATTATATTATCTTCAGGTGTAGCAAAACTTATATATTTTGAACAATAGGCTTACAATGGACTATATTCCGTAAAAAAGCTAAAACCTGTTAAAATATCTTACTGATGGAATTCTATATCCTCTAGCAAATTTTATTTAATAGTTCTGACCCAATTCTGGTCAAGCAGTTTATGTGCTATTAGCAGTTTCTTGTAACACAGATATTTTTAATTTTTCAATACATACTGCAATATTTGGTTTACATTTAAAGCAAAACTTGTGAGTTGCAGTTAAACAGTGAGACAAATAAAGTTCAATTAGCAAAAGGTATTAATTTCTGTTTTAAAGACTATTCTATATATATTTTTGTGCCTAACGTAATGAAAAAAAAATAGTGTTAGGTTAGAAATGTTTACAGACAAAACACCTGGGATAATCATTTTTAATTAATGGGAAATTATTCACACAGGTGTGTTTCATGTTTAGCCAATACCTGTAATTAAGGTGGGATAAAAGAAAGATTTTATAGAATCAGAAACCATGAAAAAGTAATTTGCTGACATATACATTTACACTAGTTGGAGACAACTCTCCAACAGACTATTAAACCATTTGATTGTTTCAAAAAATCTTAAAACCAGCATCAGCACAACATCATATATATTGGAATCTTATTATTGTAGCAGTCAAATTTGTTCAAATATAAAAATAAGAAGATGTGGTATGATTGCCAATGAGACAACTCTCCACAAGAGACCAAATGACATAGAAATTAACAATTACAGGTCACAAATAGTCTTCAGTATTATAAGTGGTACTAGTTTTAAGTTTAGAATCCTGTATTACATGTAATATCTTTTTCTTGTCCTTCAGTTTCAAAGTCAAGGAATTGTATATATATATAGTAATTAGCTTATGAGATCTTTAATAATAAAATCATGCCTATATTTATGCACTAACTTTGAGAGTATTATGTATTAGGTAACTATTTTTCAAGGATTTCATAGTTTAATAACATAATTAACCAAAGAAGTTGGTAAAAGTCAATGTCAAGGCGGTCTGTCTGTATGAGAATCAAATCACTCAATATGATTTGGTTCAAGATTTTGAATGTTCAAGTATCTTAAAGTGGTATGTACTTAAAAGGTGCATGATTTGACTAAGTGTTTTAAAAATCTCACAAAAATGCTGAGAATTTTGTAAATTTATACATCTTAGAGATTAGAAAATTCATACATGACTACAATGATACTCACAGCTGCATGTATTCAAACGATATGTCAAATCTTGAATTTTATACAAAAATGTTACCTTTTGGTTACCCTTAACATTGTGTAGGTAAAAAATAAAATATCATACTTCGAATTAGTGTCATAAATAGGTACATATAAAATGAGTATTACCGATTCTTATGACATGATTTGTTGACAATATTAAGATATTATTAATAACAAATTAATGATCATATTTTATAGCTTTAGGTGTGACCACTCTGACAAGCTATGTTTACTGTTAATGTCCAATTACTATGATGGAAAAGGTGACAATTTTGTCTCGACTAACGTTACTAATGTTCTGACCTCTGTTGAGGGCAAAGGAACAGTCCAAAAGACAAACTGATACCTTACTGTATATATATATGTCTTTTATTATTAGTCCAAAAACATTGATGGGTTCAAAGTTTTTTCCAAGGATCTTGGACTTGCTCAAATTTCTCAAATCAGCAGTACTGAACTTTGTTACATGTAAAGGACTCACTATGACTTTTGAGACCAAGAACAGCATTAAAAACACTCTTTCTTAACTTTTGGTTTTGTTATAAGTGGGACATTAGGATAATTGATAATTTGAAAACATATGACATCATAAGGACCATCAAGCATTACTTTTGTCAATCTAACAAGTGTCTATTAGAAGATGGTTCTGGTGAGGGAAAATTCGGTTTGAACTTGTAAGAGGAATTGAAGAAGTTTGTCACAAATGTTTTGAAACAGACTGACATTATTTGAAGAAGAAAAAAAGACATGATCTTTTTTCCAATTTCAGGAATAGTCTTCACTAATATCAGGAAGCTTATATATACCTAGCTGCCATCATTTCCAAGATTTTCTGAAATTGGTGAAGAAAAAATTATCTTTGTTCTTTTTTCTTTTTTTTTTTTTGAAAAAATTAATTAAGAACATAATATGAAAAAAATTAGAAATCTTAAATATTAACCAACTTTCTATAGGGGACATAATCTTACCAATAGAAAAAACTTATTTTTTAGGCCATATAGCATTGCTGAGACAAAAACTAGATATACCGGGGCTACCAATCCCTGTTGGACTCAATTCCATGAAAATATCAATCTATAATAATAATAAAATGTAACCCCTCCTCTTTCTTAATTAACCCTTCCATTGTTTATCTTAGTCAATTCTTCCAATACACCACACATAATGCATGTAGAGGTAAACCACACTTAGACAGAAGATGCATGACTAATAGAAAGGTTATATTCTCTTTGCATTCCTTAAATAATTGTATGTTTACAATAGCTCACTTTTAACAGTTTAAAGAATTTCATTCAACAAGTAAGGAAGGTGTAAAAAATGGCTGAAATCATGGTATGTTCGTTTTCATTTACTTATCGATTTTTTTCTAAGATTTGTTTCAGAGATTGCTCCGAAATTTAATTATGTAGACATTTTTGTGTCCTTGTCTTGTGATGGATTAGAAATAGGAAGATGACACATATCTCTTCCAATAATAGATAGTTATTATCGAATGTTCTCTGCATAGTAGGTTGTTGTTTTGGGCTGACAAAAATCCTTTTATTGAATGAAATAGATTACAGTTGATAGTTGATACTGTTAGATTTGAGTAAGTCCATCTATATCCTAATTTGTCAACACAGATCTCTAATATATCACAGTTATTGTATTGCCTATTGGTAGGAATATGAGATTGTCATTACATTTCAATGTTGTTTTTTACATTTCTGAGTAAACAATTGTTTGCTAGGTATTATAATATATTAAATATATATAGTCCTTAAAAATTTATATTAATGAGAATTTCATTTATCACGTAAGAAAAGTGTAATAAAATGGCACAAATTATGGTATGTCGTTTTCTTAAAGATTTTCAGATTGATGAAGAATTATTTTCTAAACTTATCTCTTTTAATGGCTATATTTAAGGTTATGCTGGGAAAATCAAGAGTTGCTCAAAATTCAAGGCTGCCCCCTCGGGCTAAATATTCAAGGATGGAGGAGCACCACCCTTAAATAGACTGGTTATCCCTGGGAGATGCTAAATGTTTCATGTCATGCAACCATGATGTCAGACTTTAAAGGGGCATAATCTGCCAAATTCATGTCCACTTACTTGACTAAAACCTCTATTTTGTTTTATTACATTCTTAACTGTATTTTAGAATTTCAGAATTCTCACAGAAAAACCAAAAAACAATGTGTGAAAACTGTAAAAAGTGTCAACATTTTGTGCAGGCTTTGAATACTTTTTTATTTTTGCTGTTTTTCAATTGTATTGTATCAAAATACAATTTCATTTAGAATTCATCCTCGTTATTTTTCTATTTGCAGGCTTCTGTAACAACAAACGGTAACGGTCAGAGTGTGAACCCATTATATGAACTTTCAATGGACCAAGGTTTCTCTGCTTCAGAATCAAATAATTTAATCATGTCGGAGGAAATTGAAGTTTCACAAAAATCCACAAAATCTTCAAATCCACTTTACGATTTTGAAAATAATGACTCTGCTGAGCCATCTGCTAATCCATTATATGACTTGTCTGCCGGTGAAACTAATGGACATGATGTGGATTTACTTGGAACTGGAATTTCTGTTGTGACTGATGATTCTGGTGTTACCATGGAAACTGAGACATCAAATGAAGGAGATAATTTATTGTTGAATACAGGAGATAGTTTAAAGTTCGAAGTTCGACGAGATGAAAGTCATGAAAGCATGAATGGAATAAGTGATGAAGATAGTGAATTAGTTGAAAAATTAAACGAAGCTGAAAAACGGGAATTATTACAAAATCAAACTGAAAGTCTGGCACAAGGATCGGATGTCATACGTGAACAAACTGAGATCACATTTGATGATCAACCAGGAATTCTAATTACGCAGGAAGAGGACCAATTGATAAAAACCGGGGAAGATCTAGTTGAAGTTGGGGACCAGTTGGTAGAAACCAATGAAGATCTAGTTGAAGTTAGGGACCAAAATGAACCAGAAGTTATTGAAGATGTGCAAAATGACCAATATATTACAGAGGAAACAGAAGAAGTTGTAGAAATCACTCGACAGGAAGTGGTAGTGGACACACAGACAGAACCAGAAGTGCCACAATATAATGAGGAGTTTATAGAAACTGCTGAACAAGAGGAAGATCTAAATCAGAATAATCAACCTGACACAGTTGAGGTCGTGCCTGACACAGTTGAGGTCGTGCCTGACACAGAGGAAGTCGTACCTGACACAGTTGAGGTTGTGCCTGACACAGTTGAGGACGTACCTGACACAGATGAGGTTGTACCTGACACAGTCGAGGTAGTCACACAGGAAGAAGAATTACAAGAACAGGAAGTAGAATTACAAGAACAGGAAGTAATTCCCACCGAGGAATTCAGAAGTAGGAGTAGCAGCAATTCATCAGAGGAACAGGTAATACTCTGAATTTAAAAACATAGGGAAGATCGTGTAAATCATCTGAATATCGATTGATGAGTGTAAAATTATAACTACAATGTCCATAATTGATGAACCAATGTCATCATTTTACAGCTACAAACTCCAACTCCCTCAGGCAAAGCTGACCTAAGATGAATTTGACAATTTTCTTTATGGCCCTTTTGGTCATCTAGTTAGTAAACTTTCTATGTATTTACACATCCCTGGCTTTCAAATGATTAGGAGGGGTCTCCTGGTCAAGTGGTCTAAGTAGTCAAACTACTGTATTACTAGCCTGTCAACACTGAGGTTGTGAGTTAGAAACATGCATGTGGTAGGTGCGCTCTACTCCAATTGACTAGGATTGTCAGTTTTCCTATTGAAGGTATTGGTTCTCTTTGGGCGCTCTGGCTTCCTCCGCCAATAAAAAAAACTAATCACCACCAAATAGCACAATAGTGCTGAAAGTGGTGTTTAACACCAATCAATCAATCAATCAATCAAATGTTTGGGTTTGAGTATCCCTGATGAAGCTAAATCCAGAAAAACTCTTCGGATGCACAAAATTTTGTATTAAAAGATTTTTTGTTCATTTACAACAGGCAAAACATCTGTAGTATAAAAATGAATAAATTTGGTATGATTGCCAATGAGACAATTATCCAGATACCAAAAGAACAATGATGTGAACAATTAGTCCATTTTAGACACAGGAAAACTGTTCATTCATATTCAATTTGATAGGTTTGATTGGTGAAATTGCAATGCCAATTGTGTTTATATGCTAATTTTAATCCAGAATCAAATACCATATTTAGGTTTTGAAATGCTTATATTGTTTACTTAGGTCAAGTATAAAACAGTTGTGTGTTACTTCATGCCAGCGTGATTACCTTTAGTTCTTGGTGCTGACCTGGGCTAAACATTTATTGCAAGTCTTGAAAAGCACTGTAAAACTTTAAAAAATTTCTTGTCTATATTTGTCTAAGCACAAGTTGTGTTACATTCTTGCATAAATACTGGTGAATATTATCCATCCTAGTTACATATTTCACTCCAAATCTCAGGCAAAAAAATAAAAATTATTACATAACCTGCTGAAAAAAATATGATTGGTTATAAATGAAGTTTAATTTGATCAGCAAATCAGGATACATCCTTATCATGTTCTCAAATCATCTGCACTTGATGTGTTCACATAGGAACTGATATAGGAAGAAAGCTATAATTCAGAATTTATGTTTCAATTCAAATATTGATTTGAAATTAAAGATTATATCAAATACATTAAAATTACTAATAAAGTTACAAATTTTCCCTCCATCTATATATATAGAATCTAGTTCTATAAATGTCAACAACTTATTATGTGAATTTCATTAGTACAGTCCAAATTTCTGCTGTCATGAATTGTTTTTGTTAAAAAAAATCACTCTTTTAAATAAGAAATTAAAAGAAAAACATTTTTTTTACACAGACATTTATAATTCATTTTCTAAGGAAGATTTTTTCTCCTGAAGTCATATTTAATGGATAAATTTACATACAGTATAATATTACTACATAGTAATTCTTCAGGGTTTGAAATTAGCATGGGCCCACTCGCCAATCGCTCCTAAAATTTGGTGTGGGCTACTAAAATTTCTGTTTTTCTTGTATAGAACATATATTTGCTACCAAAATTTAAGCTGTGAGCTACTATGCCAAAATTTAAACTTCCTGCTTCTTGAAATCAAATATATCTTTTTCATGTAAAAGTTGAGAAAAAACTGCTTTCTAAATGAGGGAACACAAAGTACCCCAAAAAAATCAAACCCTAATATCATTCATGAGCATTTCATGATCAGTCAAAAGTAAGCCATGTTGCTAGTTTGAGGGAGAGAACTCTAACTGACTTGTGTAACTTGTGAAATGTAAATGGTATTTTGTAAGTCAAAAGACCTTGTAATTAATTGGAGGAGTTTGTCAATATGTCTTGTTTTCTTGTTATACAGATTTTATGACAGAAATGACATAAAAAGTTATTGTAGTGGTATATAATTACACCCTTTCCAAATAAAAATCTTTTTATTTGTTATATGACCTTAAGTTATGACCTTCAGGAAGAGGTGAAATAAGGGGGAATTCATCTGAATAATTCTGATATTTACTTTTAAATACAAATTCTTTTTAAAATTGCAGAAATGATGACATTAAAATGTTGATGAAAGAAATTAATTTTAATTAGCAAATTTAATATAAGTTAAGTATTTATAAGTTAAAATATGCACAAGTTTAGAACCAATATAAATAGTCATGAAATATGAAGATATTTAAATACTAAAAATCTTATTACAGTAATTGAATGCTTTATTTTTGATGGTGCATTTTCAAAAATAAGTCATTCTGTTCAACTATTAGAAATAGAGATTGGAATATATGCTGAATTGGCTTAACATTTTCATTGTGGTAGATATGTTGCATTAAAAAAAAGTAACTTTGAGGGAAATATAATGTTCATACATGTACATTGGCTGAGATGAGCTCTTATTTTAAAGACAGCTCTATACAATGTAAGAAGAAAATAGCATTTCGGGTCGGAATCCATGGTAGACTGTTCTTGATTTAAACTTAGTCAATCTCCTCCTCCCCATGGAAGGCACATTTTAATCATTTCTTTGAGCATAGATCTTTGTTTTAAAGATCATTTATACATTGTAACTATGAAGTTGCATTATTAAAATCATTTATGTTTTTCTCTAATGGAGTTTCATTATACTTTCCTTCTGTAACCAAATGTCTAAATAAAATATTTCTGACTTAGGGTTCGATTAATGGCAATTTAAAAAGTTAAAAAAAAATTGTTTTATTGGATTTTAATTTTCTACATGTATTTAGGTTACATATAAATCTACAAGTTTTATATCCCTGAGCGTAACACCAGTTGTAAGTACACACGTGTATTACATATGACTTTAACTTTTGTGTACATAATAACGTATTTATAACTTAACATATGTATACATAATACATATAATTTATTATCTAATATCTAAAACAATTAATTACATGTATTTTACAACCACATTGAATTGTGCCTTTATTATAATAGAGGCAAAAGATACCAGATGGATATATTAGAAACTTTTTGTAAGTTTAAGAGAAATTTGAATTAAGTTGCAACATTTGCAGTATTTGATTACAATTTCAAAATGATTTATATTAACATATTCAGATTATTTTATGAATATGCAATATAAAAATAAGGAGATGTGATATGATTGCCAATGAAACAACTATCCATAGACCAAACAACAAAGATCATGCGAACATTTACAGGTCATCATAAGGTCTTTAACAATGAGCAAAAGCCATATAGTCTACTACTAAAAGGCCTAAATATGACAAAATGTTAAACAAAATATTTTTCCGACAATTAACAAATGTTTTTTTAATTTTGAACAGTCACAACTCAACAATACTAAACATGAAGAAAATTAATAACCATGCATGCATATTTAAATAAATTTATACAATGCAAGCTATCTTTCTTTTCAATTTAATTTTTGAAAAACAATTTGTTATTTTATTAAAATAAGTAACCAGAGTAAAACTAAATGATTAGAGTTATCCCTCTTTGAAAATTGACAAATTTGACAATTGGTACATTTTTCTAATATTAATCATTTATCAAATATAATATTAACGACTTTGTACTAATGCTAATTTATCATAGTCAATTATATATTATCAGTAAAATACAGTCTGATGTACAGAAATATGCAACCTGTTCCAAGTTGTTAAATTTGTATCGTTCATTGATACCTATCGAAAGTTATTATCAGGAGAAAGTGATACCCTCTTTTTCAATTATCATCAAACAACCTAACAGTCGCTGATATTCTGATGCAGATTCAATGCAAATACCCTAGCAACAGGAATTTTTTGATAATTACAAACTTTTAGAGGCACAATAAAGGGTTTCAAAGACATTTTTGTCTGTACAACAACCATGACAATTTTTATTTAAAAATAAGTTTTTAATTGAAAGCAAATGGACGCATCTTTAACGGAATGATGATAAGTTAGATATTTTTCTGTCAACATATTCCAACTTTGCAAATGCTTTCAATGCATATAACACTTCTGCCCATGCCTGGCTTAAGTTCATAATGAATATAATATATGAAATTCAAAATTTTGAAAGGTATTCTCTCTCTGAGAAATCATGCTTATGACTTTACTAAACCACATGAAAGCAGTCTGTGATAATACTGAAATTAATTCCATTTATTTCGCATGTTGAGTATAATTAATTAGGAAAAAGATTTTAATATATTTTAGTATCTAAATATATCTAGTAGAGAATTGATTGATAAGCATTATATCAAACATTGTGCAAAAACATATACCTACCTTTGAAATATCTGCCACATTTCGTGCTTAATTTTCATGTGCGTAGAACAAGATTGCTCATTCCTGGCAGTGCCCCCATTGTTGACTGCTTGCAGTGTGCATTTGCAAGATACATAACAATGTTTGCTGATTAGTAACACACCTAAGCAATAATTATTTTTTCGTTTCCTTGTGTCCTCTTGCTACTGCTGTCATCTGAGATTGGATTAATTGGTATAAAATGGCTTCCCTTAGGACTAAAACTCCTGGAAAATTGACAGCGTCCTCTAAATTCCAAGTCTCTACCACTACAAGTGAAGCAAAAACAGAAAAAGTTCAAACAAATGTTGGGAAAGTTGACAAAGGTCAACTTTCTACTGGGAAGTCAGTTCAAACAAAAACAGGAAGTGCTCAGGCTCAAACTCAAAGTGTTAAAACCGAAAAAATGGATCCCAAATTAGGGAAAACATCCACGGAAAGTAAAACCGTTACAAAAGTTGAATCTAGTGATAAAAAAGGTGGAAAATCAAATGTGTCTTCTAAATTTCAGAAGGAAACTACAACCACCTCTAAAACTACCACAGTCACAGAGAAGACAAAGGTCGCACAAGGTAAGATTGAGATTAGGCATAATAGTAATACAGTACAGATCAGGAGGGAAGGGGAAAAGGTTGGGGGGGGGGGGGAGATTTTGTCATTTCCACCTGTTTATAATGGGGGGAGGGGACACTGAGTGGGCAAAACTACAAGATGGTCCCACTGTGCCAATTTGAATTTGGACATGTTATTTCTTATCAAAAGAGTTGAATACACTAATTACTATACTATGGAAGAATGATTTAAGCTTTTGAATTCAGTATTTATCAAAACTTCTATGGATCAATTTGAGTTGGCAGGGTGGGCTGAACATGGTAGGTAGATCAGGGGGAAGGGATTCACTTAGATCTTTTTCTGGTAAGGGTGAGCAACTGAGACATCCAGTACCCCCATCCTTTTCATATATATTTTAGATAACAAAAATACATACCCAATCATATATTTTTAGACAATAAAATATACCTATAGCTATCATCATGATCATGATTACGCTATTTCATGGAGAGGTAATAGTTTTGACAATTATCGCATGCATTATCGACAGTGTTTTAAATTGCATCTGTGAAAAAATGGATTTTGGGGGGATTTGTGAATCTTTAGCCAGTTATTTCTTGTATGAAATCTGTATGATACCAGAAAAAACTGGTTGAATATTTTTGTTGTTATGCATCACTCTAAAGCACCATTGTTTTCTTCTCCCCCACACTTATGTAGACAATTGCTGATAAGATAATTATCTTATGTCTTATCTAATTTATTTCTTTTCTGTAAATTGGTGAAATTATGACTTCTTTGTTATAAAAGTACAATTTTATTCTTGGATGCATGATTTGATTATTAGTTGTTATTGGCTTTGAACTAGCTTTTGGCAACTGTGAGAACACTAAGGTCAGTACTTTTGTGTCTTAAGGCTTTTTATTGTTGGTTGTTTTTTTGTGCATTTTGTTGATCTGACAAGTCAAAGCCTCTTTCAACTAATTTTGATTGCTTGTTCTTATATTGTGCTGTAATACCAATGTCCTAGTTTGGGGGAGGGTTGAGCACCCGCAAATATGTTTAATCCCGCCACATTCTGTATGTGCCTGTCTCAAGAATGGAGCCTTTAATTCAGGTTGTTGTTTGTTGCTGTAATATTTGGTTTAATGTTTTTTTCCATAGGTAAATCAGGCTGTTTTCTGTTAACTTTTTGGGTTGCTGTCTCATCAGAAATCACATGTACTTTACATCTTATTTTAGCCTTTTGAAGAAACACCTTTGTACATGTTGTACATGCATCGGAGATGAGTGTATTGTAATGAATACTGTATTCAACAAATAACTTGATAGATAGACTTCACTTTTGTCTGTGAGATTGTATCTATTCTTAGCTAACAGACATTAATTAATGGAATGTTCATATTTCTAGAAATTGCTTACACTATACCGAAAAACAAGTGTGTGATTAGTTCACTATTTGTCTAATGGCCTTGTACTGCTTCTGTTATTGAAATGTTGTTTACTGAAATTATAGTATGAATGTTACCTTTTCCCTAAATGGCGTTTTGAAAAAGCTTTGGTTTTATAAATAAACATGCAATTTTGCAAATTTCTTGAAATAGCATTAAAATGATTAGAAAGAGATTTGGGGTATACATCAAGGAAAAAGCAACACAACACAACCACCTAAAAAAACTAATCTAGAGATCAAAACCCATTCTTTATTTGAAATCAAGATGAACAGGGGCGGTTCCAGCCATTTATAAAAGGGGGGGGTTTCCTAACCCAGGATAAGGGGGGGTTCCAACTATATGTCCCCATTCAAATGCATTGATTGTCGAAAAAAGGGGGGGTTTCAACCCCCCCCCCCCCCCCACTGATGAATGAAATTGGACAGAAGTCATAAAAAGATCTACCTTCAACACTGAATTCTCAAAATAAAAAAAACATTAAAGATATTAGTCATAAGACAACAAATTAAAAGACATGACTTTGCACAGCTAGACACATTAACATGTGATGGGTCATTACTGGATAAAACTTGTATCCAGGGAATAATGCATATTTATGGATAGTCACACCAAGAATTAAATTGGCATAGGCTCAACAGCTAGGAGTGGTAAAAGATATATTATGGGAATGGACCAATCCAGGATTTTTGTGTGTGCAAATATCCAGTAATTTTGGAGCTAGTAAATTTTACACTTTGGGAATGTTGGGAATGTCTTCTTTGTATCTTCAACACTTTGTTTGGCATGATTCAGGGAAAAATCTCGTTGGTAATTATTCCTTTTTCAGGACTCTGAGGAGTGACTGAAACTAATTTTGGTTTTTGGAAAATTTTACTCATAAAATAAGAGAAACAAATTCTTCAGTTTTGTCTTGTGATTTCAAAGTCATCTGAGGGAAACTTAATCTAAACGACTTTAATGTCCTTAAATTATATCATAGGTGTCCTATTATAGTAGTTCAATTCTATGTTATTCAAATATATGTAAATATTATTTCTTACCTATGTTTAAATCTCGGAGCAGACGTTATGACAGAATAAGCATTTTAAGGTATACCTTTAAATACTATATCTATATAAATAGTAAAAAAAGCTGATTGTGATATTGTTGATAACTGTTAACTACGTTATTCATTGGGTATTTAGTTGGACCTGAGTAGTAAAATAGATTATCGTATTATTAAACGGACCGTTAGATTTGAAGTCAAAGGTCAATCATATTCTCTCGATGGTTATATTCATGAAAATGTTTTTGGACATGGTGCAGTGAGCATATCCGTCAATATCTGGGACACCAGCACCGGGAAGGCACCCTAAGATTATTTATTGGATTATTGATAGAAATGGCAGGTAAATAACTTGTTGTGTCTTGTTAACAGGTAAATTCACCTGTATAATTAACACCTAAGATCAAAATGATTGATACCTAATAATGAACAATGTTTACCACTTTTTTGTAATCTGTAGAAAAGGTTAAGAATGAAATTGCTCATTGCTTACCTAGCTTATCTTTTGAATAAAATGTACTCACAATTGCTGTATGAATGTGAAAGCAGGTTGACTTTCCGATTTTCAAAACTTGTTAAATTTAATTACCTGATTAGTTGCTTTGACACCTTTGTGATTTTAGATTAAAAATTTCTTTGTATATTCACATAAAGGAACTGGATTATCCTCTTTAATAGTGGTTTCAGAATGCAGGGGAGGATCCAGGAGTTTTGCAGTCTTCACGCTAAACCACAGGCCCAGCAGCCCAGTCTAGTAAAATTGCTCTCGGGCCTGTAATATCATATCTACAGGCCAACAGAATCTAAATAAAATTTTCCAAAAATTGAGCTCCGGGCCTGTAGATTTTAAAGTTCATCGTGAAGACTGGTTTTGAGGGGGGAGTGTAATTGCTAAAAATGGAATATACAGCACAGAGGGGATGCCAAAAATAATATATTTTCTGAACAAAAGGGGAGCATACACCATTTTAACCCCTGTTCTTGAATTTACCACTAGAAAAGAGTTCTGATGTATACTATGCACAGTTTGATTGGTTGAATTTTGGATGCTTAACATCTGCTTTAACATCTGAAGATGGGTGAAGGATTAATAAAGATACTATTTTGGCACCAGCAGACATGTTTAACCCAGCAACATTCTGTTTGTTACCGTCCCAAGTCAGGAGTCGGTAATTCAGTGGTTGTCATTTGCCTTTTAAAGCTTACTATGCTGTATGGTTGTTGCTCATTGTTGAAGACTGTACAGTGACCTGTAGTTGGTAAATTATATATCACGGTCTCTGGTGGAGAGTTGTCTCATTGGCAATCATATATGTATACAGATATTTACACGATTTGAAAATCACTCCCCATCTTCTTTAATAAAAGACTTAAATTGTCTGTCAAATTTTCAAAAGAAATATTTAGGCTTTAAGAACCCTATTTCCAACTATTGGTGGCTTCACCTTGAACGGAGTTAAGAATTCTATAAGCATTGACGGCTTGACCTTGCAAACAAGGAAGTGATTTAGAAATGCATGTAATCCACATATAAGATTGGATATATACATGATATAATCTCTGTCTTGAGAATGTTCTGAAGTGTGTAGATAAATAACTGTCAATTTAATTTCTTACCAGTATGTTACAGGTAGATATTAAACTGTGAATCAATTAAAGTTTACTAGCATGTAACATGCAGGTAATAGATCACACATTTTGTTTAAAGATAAGCCATGTTAATGTCAAAAGTTTTTTTGTTATTTGGAGAATTTTGAGTTGATGGCAGATCCCTTGTTTTGGCATATTGATAGAAATCTGTCCATTATGGATTTTTTTTTTTCGTGGGTACCTACTTTTTTTGTTGAATTTTTATTGATGGTTTTGACAATTTTTGGTATAAGTCTATAGAAAAGATAATTTATATTTGTGATTCACTTATTCCCATAAAATCCACGAATAAAATTTGATCCGCAGTATTCATTGATTTTAGAAGACTCTCTGTGTATGGTGAACTCTTTTGGTGAATTTTTGTTGTTTGGTTGCATGTTTTTTCATTGATGTATACCTGTTACCATGTGAAAGAAGTAAAACCATGTGGAATTAACATAAATAATGATTATAGACAGGGTTGAGGATAAAGATACATGAACAAATACCTAACAATTACAAGTTTAAGCACTTCCCTTCAGTGATATCGATCTCTTAATTGTTCATTTTATGATGAAAAACTATCCAATTTGACCTTAATATTTGTCTAGATTGGATTTTTGCTTAAGACAGCAAGGACCACATGCTTGGACCAACATTCTCTTAGTCTTCTAAACTTGTGGTGATATAGTGCTGTAGAAGTCTGTCTATTGTCGAAGACCATTTATCAACCTCTTAACCACCGAAGTCCTGAAAAATTGTGAATTTATATAGCAAACTGTCAATGATCTGTGTGCCTTCAGCACCAAATTTCATAAAGGCAACAAAAATAAGTGTGATAAAATTCACAGAAATGCTAGACTTTGTGTCCTTTTTTTTAAATTTTCAACAA